AATATACGCATGAACACCTGCATAAATAAGAATGCAACTGCGTGAACATCTGCTATACATCTGCGTAGTAATTAAACATCTGTAAAGATAAGAAAACAGGTGCATGAACACCTGCAATTTAATTGAACATCTGCGTCAGCATTTGTATTTTAATTGAACACCTGCATAAATAAAAACCTATGCGTGAACACCTGCATAAATAAAAAAGCACCTGCGTGAAAATTTGCGATAAATTTGCGTTGTAATGAAACACCTGAAAAGGTAAGAAAACTCTTATGAAACACTTACGTGGTTAGTCACAAAAATGTCCTTATTTCTTCATGTACAAGTCTCTTTGCTTCTATTCAATTTATTACAACCCTCGAAGGTAAAACATTAATAATTATTCTGATTACTATACATATTTTATTAAATTTTTAAATCTCAATATTTGGACCAATAAATATGTTAAAATAAAATATAATTTACAAGAAAGTGAAAAAGCGAAAAGTTTAAAATCAATTCGAAACATTTTTCAGTGTTTCGTAAAAGTCTGATTATTACATATATTTCCATTGATTTACTTAATAAATATTGTGTAAAAAGAATAGCAAACTTTAATACAAAATTGTTGAAATGTTTTGATGAAGTGATGATAGAAATTTCTGTTATGTTATTTACAATAGAAGAATAATAGAAATGTGCACGTGAATGCTCCAATTCTTTGTGTGACTTTCGTTCGGTCGGTTCTCAGAATGCCGCAAATGTAATTGAAATTAATGAATGATCTGATACGGTTTTGTGTGGCGTGTGGAACGATACCAAAGTTCATTAAATTAGATCTGACAAAATCAATAATTTGCAGATTGCAATAATAATAATAATCATCGATAGAATACATTTATTTTTTAAATTGCAAACATCCAATTTAGGTTCTAACAAATATGCTCAAATTTATCAATAAATTAACGATGATTTGATTAAATAATTGTTTTTTTGTAATTTAGAAAATTTCAAATAAATTATTGAATTTCTTGCTTAAATATAAATAAAAAGTATTGTAAC